AGAAATAAAGGGGAGGGGAAGGAGATAACACAGAAAGTACTGGCCTCTTTAAGAGCTGTGGCTTAGCATACTGCTTCCCGTCTCCGAGTCTGTTTCTTCATTGGTGAAACGGGGCTGTGGTATCAACTTTGCTTTCATGAGTGAAAACATTCTGTGGTAAAATGCTGCTTCTATTTGTTATGACTAGTGAGAGTAACCCAGACTTAAATTATTCTTCAGGACTCTTGGAGAAAGCACCTGGGGTGAAGCGACTAAGCTCACTGGATGACAAGATCCCCCACAAGTCACCATGCCCAAGACGTACCATCTGGCTGTCTCGAAGCCAGTCAGACATCTTTTCCCGTAAGCCCTCACGTACAGTGAGCGTCTTGGACCCATACTACCAGCCACGAGATGGTGCTGCCCGCACCCCCAAAGTCAACCCTTTTAGTGCTCGCCAGGACCTCAAGGGGGGCAAGATCAAGTTTTTTGACCTGCCCAGCAAGTCTGTCATCTCTCTGGTATTTGACCTGGATGCACCAGGGCCTGGAACTATGCCCCTGGCTGACTGGCAGGAGCCCCTGGCCCCACCTATTCGCCGGTGGCGTTCCTTGCCTGGTTCGCCTGAGTTCTTGCATCAGGAGGCTTGTCCATTTGTGGGCCGGGAAGAATCGCTATCTGATGGGCCCCCACCACGCCTAAGTAGTCTCAAGTACAGAGTTAAAGAGATCCCACCATTCCGGGCATCTGCCCTACCAGCTGCTCAAGCCCATGAGGCTATGGACTGCTCCAGTCTCCAGGAAGAAAACGGTTTTGGGTCCAGGCCCCAGGGGACCAGTCCATGCCCTGTGGGTGCTTCTGAGGAGATGGAGGTAGAAGAAGAAAGGCCAGCAGGCTCAACTCCAGTCACCTTTTCCACCTCAGGCATAGGCCTGCAAACCCAGGGAAAGCAGGATGGGTGAGGGGGGTTAGTCCCTGCCTCACCTTGGGGATGGACCTTCAGCTGAAACCATATGGCCCCCTAGGTGCACAGCCTTGATTCTTCCCCGGAGCCTACAGAGTAGGCAGGCTAGGCCAACCCAGGCTCAACTTCTGGGCTCCTGGTGCCCATTGGCTGTGTATGATAGGGGAGGCAGGAGTGAGAGGCCTTCCTAGTTAGGGCCAACAGCTGATACCAAGCCTCTGAAATCTGGCAAAGAGGTCTGCCTCTCACTAGACCCCCTCCAGTGCACTTCCCCAGACAGGACCAGAGGATGTCTAGTTCTAGGCTGAGCTGGCAGGCAGCTATTACCCCGGTTCTTTCCCCACCCCAGGTCTGTCTCTTGCCCTTTCTTGGGGCATGTAAGCTACTGAGTGGAACATGGAGCTGACTAAGAGGGCATAATGGGCATGGCTGTTTCCCAGACCTGAAGATTGGGGTGCTTCTTGCCAGTATTCTAAGACACTTGAGTAATTGCTGTTTGCACTTACTGCATGGTCAGACCACGTCACTACGTTTCTATGCAAGGGGAGAGCAAGGCAGTGTTGTGGTCATGGCTCTTAGCTAACCTATTCAAAGACCTTTTTCCCATTGATTAATCTATTTTCATATTTATAAAGGAGTCTTAATGTTCTGCCCCATAAGACTTTCAACCTTGTGGTTGGGAGTGGGGCTGGTTTTGTAGGCCCTAGGGCCTGCTTCTATGTATTTGTCAACATGTGATACATTCAGTTCATTAAATGGTTTATATATGGACTGATTTTCTTCCCTTCCTGCCATGGCTGGAACTTTGGGAACAGTCTGTCCTTACAGAGCTGCAATAAGAAATAACCAAAGATGAAGCTGGTCAAATATTTTCATAACTTGCTTCTGTTGATTTTTTTTGTAAAACTTTCCCAAGACATTTTCAGACTTAAAAATAAAGTCGGTGTTACAGGTGCTGGTCAGCCTTCTTACGTGTACCTCAGGCACTGAGATAAAGGAGGAGGTCCAGGGCAATGCAGTCATATGTCTGTCAGGACACTCCCCCTCCCCTAAACTCAGTAGTAGTTGAGTATGACATTTACAGGCTAGAAAGACCCAAAATACCTCCGTTCCACCTGAGTGCTAGGTGGAAGTTGCATCAGCTGCTGCCCCAAGCGAGCTTCATCTTCTGATTGTGGGCTTTGGAGGAACGGGAGAACTGGCTCTTGGCCACTGTGAGGGGTACAGCTTTGCCACTCAAATATACCTTATTGTGGCATTCAGGGAGCCAGGGTCCAGAGCTGCTGGGCTGGGGTCCCTGGCTTACTTCCACATAGGCCATCACATAACCTGTCATAAAGGCATCAAAACCAGCCCGGTGCAATCCATCCCCAGGTACTGGGTTAGAACTGGCTTGGCTCCCTGGCACTTCTGAGGTAGCTGTATCAGCTATTTCAGGCCTTGCTGCTGTAACCCCCATCTCTACGTCATTTTTGTTGCCTTGGTTGGAGTGAGGCAGATTTCTAGTTTCATTCTCAGCCACCTCCTCAGTTTCTTCAGCCTTGAGGCTATCCCCACAGACCTGCTTCTTGGGAGGACCATCCTTAGCTTCCCCAGAGGTCTGTGTCCCTGCTAGGTTCAACAAAGCCCTCTTCCGTTTTTCCCTACGTCGTCGCCGTCGCCGCTTGTCCTCTGCTGCAGCCTCATCAGTGTCAATGATAAGGTCAATATCGTGGGACTGAGGACACTGTGGTCCCAGGGGGCACCAGCCATAAGCCTAGGGGTGGGAAAGAGGCTTAGAAAGAGGCTCCAGGCATCAGAACCTCCCCTCCCAAGAAATAGGTGGGTGCTCTCACCGAGAAGTTGTCACAGATGCTGGTGGGATGAGGACGGTGGGTTGCTGGGGGCAGGCAGCAACGATAATCAATATGGTCCCTCATGCTGGAAGGATAGTTGCAGAACTCCAGGGTAAGGTGTGGACTGCCAGCTGCCCGCTGCTTCCCATTTTCCCGTTCACTGCAACAGCGCAAGAGGGTAATGGTCCACTAGCATATAAGCTCCATAAGAGCAGGGTTTTTTGGTCTGTTTTGTTCACTGCTGAATCCTCAGCACCTAAAACACTGTCTGGGCACATGGTAGGAGCTCAATAAATATCTTAAGTTAATGAAATAAACTCATATCAGGCCCCACCCCTTTCCCTCAACCATTTCCTCACCATTTCCGGAAGGCATATTCTAAGTAGGAGGCCACGAAACGGGCATGAAATTCAGCAGCATATTTGGTGTCATAAATGCCTGCTGGGAACATCTCACACAGGTCAGCAGTGAAGGTTCCCAGACTCTCAGGGAGGTGTGCATAGAAGTTCTGGTATAGGAACACCAAGTCTATAAGGCCATTGTGTAGCACCAGGGGCCGGCGGGCTCGGATTAGCTCCAGGAATAGGGTCCGTACTGACTGGCTCTGGCTCTCATCACCCTAGGTGAAAGTAAAGGGGTCAATGAGGAGGACAGAGTCCCCCAGGGAGCCTCTTCTGCTGGGCACTTATCCCAGGCTTGCCCACTTGGAACGCGCTCTCTCTCTCTACCCAATGCTACCTACCCTCCTAGCAGTCTTGTTTCCCAAGCCCTGTCACTAGTGATTCCCCATACTCCCTAAGAAGCAGGTTCTCCCCAGGCATCCAGCCTAGGATAGGAAGAAATAAAGTCACAGAAGGGCAGACTCAAGGCTAGGGAATCTGGAGGCCTACCTTGTCATTGCCCTTATGGTAGGGGATGCCTTGGGCATACTGCTGGTTGAAGTTGAAGCCATGCTGTATCAGGAACTGCACAGACTTTGGTTCTATGACATACTCCTCCATGCACAGCAGAGTGAGATTGAACACCTGAGCCAGATAGGAATGTTCACCCTGGGAGAAAGAGAAAGTCTGCTATATCAAGATTTGGGAGAGCCAAGTTAGGAGGATGTAAAAGCTTAAGAATGATACAATGGACTCGGCGGGGAAAGGGTGGAGGCAGGTGAGGGATAAAAGACTACACATTGGGCACAGTGTACACTGTTTGGGTGATGGGTGCACCAAAATCCCAGAAATCACCACTAAAGAACTTATTCATTTAACCAAACACCACCTGTTCCCCATAAACCTATTGAAAAAAAAAAATCTATCAAGTTAGAAAAAAAAAACAGATTTGGGAGAAAAAAGCTTCATATCTGATGTTCCCCAGAATCTCTCTATCCTCCTCCCCACAGCCAGACCTAGGATTGGGGTGAGATCAGCTCATACCTTGTCTGGCTGTTGCTTGAAGCAGGCGAGGCCCAGGGAGAGGATAGAACGGGTCCTGGCAGCATGACACACAGCCTTGTAACGTTCCTCGATGCACCTTGGGGTTGGGTTTGGGGGTTGCTGTGGCTGGGAGTTAGCCTTATGAAGGACCCAAACCACCCAGGTCTGTGACCGCCCCCCTCCACAGTTGAGGGCTTGCACTAAAGAGAACAGGGCTTATACTTACTGGTTCAGCAAACTCTTCCTGTCCCCAAGCCCACTCAGCTCCTGTGGGGAGGTAAAGGGAGGGTTGACAGGCCTCTAGCACCAGCCCCTTCACAAACACCTGCCCTCCTTGTTTTCCAACTCTCACCGTGTCCACAGCCACGAAATTAGCTGTCTTTATGGCTAGCAGGAGGGATGGCCACATCTCTTTGAAGTTGTTGCTTTGCACATCCACTACGGGAACCCGGACTACTAGCTCCTCCCCAGATGTTGTGCTTTTGCTGACACCACCTGGGGGTTAAGAGGGTGATGGATGTTCATGCTTAAGGAAAGAGCCCAGGGGAACAGACAGCAAGCTAGGCCACGGTGATAGTGGTGAGGGGGGTAGTTTCCATTGGCAGCTTTTCCCACAAGCCTTTGTATCCCACGTGTTCTACACACAGGCCTTGGAGTGGAGAGTGCCCTGAATTTGGGGAGGAAGCCTGGGTCTTCCCGTGGCTTGTATGAGTCTGGGTAAATTACTTCCCACTTCGCTGTCACAATATATAGAGGAGAAAATTGGATTAGATGACCTTTGAGATTCTTTTTTCCCGTGTCCTGCAGGAAACATTTTGCAGGGCTTGAGGATCTCAGCTCCCTTAATATCCCACAGAATCCACACTACTGTTCTCATGGTGCCCCAGCGCCATAAGCAACAGTTCCCAGTAAGTCCCAGAGCCTGATAGTGCCACACACCAGAGCTGCCAATACGTCCTACCTTCCTTTGGACCACAATGCTCAATCTACCCCACTGAACTGAATCACAGCTATTATTAGTAACCGTTATGAGCTCCAGACTACATCTCCCGCCATGCCTCCATCAGCCCCATGCTCCCAACGCTCCAGGCTTTTGCAGCCCGAGCCGCGGTGTACAATGGGACTTGTAGTCTCCTCGTGGCTAGTTCAAGCGGAAGGAGCAGTCCTCTGAAGCTTGAGGAGTCTCTAGAACTATGAGCCCGAGGCCTTGCCCTCTCCCAGAGCGCAGAGGCTTTGAAGGCTACCCCTGGAAAGCCGCTCACCGTCGGAAGCTGCGGGAGCTGAAGCTGCGCCATCGTCACTGTAGGCGGCCATGACACCGCTCGTCTCCCGCCTGAGTCGTCTGTGGGTAAGCTGGACTTGCGCTCCGTCTCCTGGAGCGGTTCAGGCAGTCGGGGATGGCGCGGAGTTTAGCCGTCGGGTCGCCGAAGGGTCGGACTTCCGTTCAGACCTCCCGGGTCCGGCGCGGGGAAGGCAGCCCGACGCGCGCTAATTGCCTATTGGCCGGTGCTGCCGCCTCGCCGCCGGGATGGGCCCGAGCCACGCCCCCTGAAGTGCGCCGAAAAGCTGGGCGCGCTAGAGCGCGCTGGAGGTAAATTTTCTTTCCCGCATTCGCTGCGGGAACGCGGGGATTGGGTGTACTGCTCTCTTCATCAGCGTGGGCCGGGGGTGGGGGGTGGGGGGATGACTGGGTTTGGGCTTTCCAGAGAAGGTGACGCTGCCTGAGCTAAGCTTAAAGCACGCCCAGGAGTTAGGCTAGGAGAGGGTTGTGTGGGGGAAAGAAGGGTGTTCTGGGCATCGGTAAATTCCCAGAGAGGATGGAGAGCGCAGTGCTCTCCAGAAAGTGAAAGAGGCGGGGAGTAAGCCGTCGGAGGAGGCTGAGGAGGGTGTAGGGCGACCGACTGGTAGGGAAGCTTTTGAAATAATCCAATCAAGTGATAATGTGAACTTGAATTAAGGCTGGCAGTATGGATGGCGAGGAAGGGATAAATTGAAAAGCAACTAGGCCATATAGTCGACCTAGAGGGTGATTGAGCTTGAAAGAGATTTCTAGGCCGGGCGCAGTGGCTCACACCTGTAATCTTAGCACTGTGGGAGGCCGAGGCGGACGAATTACCTGAAGTCAGTTCAAGACCAGCCTGGCCAACATGGTGAAACCCCATCTCTACTAAAAGTACAAAAAAAATTAACTGGGTATGGTGCGGGCGCCTTAATCCCACTAAGGAGGCTGAGGCAGGAGAGTCTCTTGAACCTGGGAGGCGGAGTTTGCGGTGAGCCGAGATCGCGCCATTTTGCACTCTAGCCTGGGCAACAAGAGCGAAACTCCGTTTCAAAAAAAAAAAAAAAAAGAGGTTCCTATTGGAGACTAGTACCTCCCTAAACACTCCGATTGCCATCCACCTGTGCCTTCCAATGCTCCTTTGTTACTCTTTGTTTATAGTTCATCTTCAGCTTCTCTCAGCTCAGCCCATTTCATCATTATTCAGAACTGCTTGGGCCTGGCGCAGAGGCTTATGCCTGTAATCACTTTAGGAGGCCGAGGTGGGAGGATCACTTGACCCCAGGAGTTCAAGACCAGCCTGGGCAACATAGTGAAACCTTGCCTCTACAAAAAAATATTAAAAATTAGTTGGGCATGGTGGTGCGCACCTGTAGTCCCAGCTACCTGGGAGGCTGAGGCGAGAGGATGGCTTGAGCCCAGGAGATGGAGGCTGCAGTGAGTCATGATCTCCCCATTGCATTCCAGCCTGGGTGGCAGAGCAGCAGAGTGAGGGACACACTGTCTATAAAAACAACAACAAAATAAAACTGTTTGGATTTCTCCTATCCTAAAAAAGGGAAACTCTTTTGACTATCCCCCATCCCATTAATTCATTTAACAAGCATTTATTGTGTACAGTTTACCTGGCACTGACTTTGGACACACACCAGTCAACAGAAGAAAATCAGTCCTCGCACTCAAGTCGCTTTTTACAGTCAAATTCAGGAAGTACACACTGATGGAAAGAATCAAAGTAATGTGAAATTACATTGGGGTAAGAGCTACAAGGCAGAAATACATGACAGGATAAGATGAGGCGACCTGATCTGGACATTTCAGTCAAGACTTGAAAAATGATTAGATGTTAGGTAAAGCATAAAAGAGTCCAAACAGGAAATGGATTGTGTGAGGCCCCAAGATGTACAGACACGTTTGAGGTGTTTAAGCAACTAAATTCAATCAATCTTGGCTAGAGCACAGTGAGAGGGGATGAGGCAGATGGTGCCCGGATTATTGGACCCACAAGGCCGTAGTAAAAGGACTGCCTTCTATTCTAAGAGCAAGGGTGTGGCAGCCAAATCACTCCAATGGCCTATAAGGGACTTTGTGACCCTCTCCTCCCCACCTCATCTGGTTTACTTCTCTGACCTACCACTCAGCCCCATCTCATTCCATTCTAACCACATTGGCCTGTTTACTGTACCACAGACATAGCAGGCACCCTCCTTGGGGCCTTTGTACTCACTTAGAATGCTTTGGGTCTACCTTGACCACAGTCTTTAAAATTGCAACATTAAACCCCACCTTGGCACTCTTTTTTTTCCCCACTTGCTCTAATTTTTGCTTTTTATGCTAATATTTATCACCTAACATGTTATGGAATTTACTTATGTTCATTATTCCTTTTCTGTCCCCATTAGAATATAAGCTCCCTGAGGGCAGGAACTTTTGATGTTTTATTTACTGAAGTATGCCAGGTGCCTAAAACTGCTTGGCATCTATTAGGGGCTCCATAAATATTGCTCAATCTTTTTTTTTCTTTAAGAGACAGGGTCTTGCTGAGCCCAGGATGGAGTGCAGTGGCACAATCATAGCTCACTGCAGCCTCGACCTTCTGGGTTCAAGCTGTTCTTCACTTCAGCCTCCAGAGTAGCGGGATTACAGTGTTGAGCCACCACAACCAGCTTGCTCAAGAATTTAATGACCCGTAGCAAAGGCCTGGAGTATTTAAAAAAGAAAGAAAAAGGAAAACAGGAAGGAAGGAAAGAGCAGGGGAGAAAAGAAAGAAAATAAAAGAATATAATGGGGTGCCACACGGTGCCGTAGTTCATGCCTGTAATCCCAGCAGTTTGGGAAGCTGAGGCGGTTTGATTGCTTGAGCTCTGTAGGTTGAGACTAGCCAGGGCAACATGGTGAAACCCTGTCTCTAACAAAAATACAAAACTTAGGTGAGTGTGGTGGTGGTGTGCGCCTGTGGTCCCAGCTGCTTGGAGTTGGGGTTGGGTATTGGGGTGGGAGGATTGCTTGAGCTGAGGAAGCAGAGGTTGCAGTGAACCACTGCACTCCAGCCTGGGTGACGGAGTGAGACCCCATCCCCCGCCCCCCCCAAAAAAAGAATGGGAAGCCATTGAAGGTTATAAGGAAGGAAGTGACATGATCTGGAAAAGGTTCCTTTGCTCTTTGGAGAATGGATTGTAGAATGAATGTGGAAGTAAGCAGGTTTGGTGAAGGAAGTTTGGCTATGAAGGGAAGGAGGGTGGAACTTGATTGTGTACGAGTCAAGGGGAAAATCTTTCACTTTGCCCTCTGAAGATCTGCTGAAAAATCAGCTCACAAATAGCAGGTTAACTGGAGAAAAGACATACAAATTTATTAACATGCACACTGGGAGAACCACAAAGTGATTACCCATCCCCCTACAGAGATCGTAAATTTATATACCATCTGGCAAAACAGATTATGGGAGGGGTAGAAGAGAAATTCTGTTTTTCTGTTTTTGTAGAGACTTGCTATGTTGCAAGCCTAATCTCGAATTCCTGGGCTCTAGCAATTCTGCCTTGGCCTCCCAAAGTGCTGGGATTACAGGCCTGAGCCAGCATGTCCAACTCTATTTGTTTTTAAATAAACTGAACTTTGGCCAGAAGGAGATTCTGTTGAAGGGCAATAAAGGGTTACTAGGGAGACTGGAATGGGGACAGAGAATGGAATTGTTAATAGTTCTCTTTGGAATTTGAATGATCCTGAGGTACACAACACCTTGTGAAAGGGTTTGTTCAGGTATGGTTACATGTTAGTCTTAGCGAGGGGGGAAGAAAAACACAAGTATTCTTTTTAGTGGGTTTGGACTATAGGCAGATAAAGAGTTCCAGAGGAACAACTTTGTCCTGGCTTTGGGAGAGTCTGTGGGGTGGAAGGAGCAGAGAGACCTTGAGGCTTTTTGAGTTCAGCATGTCAGAGTGCCATATTTTGGGGTATTGGTTTCTTTTTTTTTTTTTTTTTTTTTTTCTTGCTCTCATTCTGTCGTCCAGGCTGTGCAGTGGCATGATCTCAGCTCACTGCAAGCTCTGCCTCCTGCGTTCAAGCGAGTATGTCCAGCTAATTTTTTTGGATTTTTAGTAGAGATGGGGTTTCACCTTGTTGGCCAGGCTGGTCTCAAACTCCTGACCTCAAGTGATCTGCCTGCCTTAGCCTGCCTTAGCCTCCCGCAGTGTTGAGATTACAGGGGTGAGCCACTGTGCCCGGCCTGGGGTATTGGTTTCTGAGTTCCAGCAGTTAGATGGGATTGGAGGAGCAGGACTCTGAAGAGGAGGAGGGTAGGACAGTGCAAATGGAGGTAGATTTGAAGTTGTTTTTTTTTTTTTTCTGAAGGAGGAGGCAAGCTCTTTTGATGAAAATGAGGTGGTAAAGTCAAAGTTTTTGGGGGAGAGTTTGATACAGAAGCTTAGCAGGGACTGCATTTTATCACAGTGTAAGAATGCTGGTTGTGGATTTGAAAGAACAAGTTGCTTAATCTCCGTAAACTTCAATTCCCTTATAAGTAAGATGGAGGTGATACTAGTACATACCTCATGGAGTCACCAGGAGATTGAGAGATCCGGTAAAGCTCTTCATGGGGTCTGACATGGAGTCGGCACTCACAAAGTATCAGCTAATTTTAGCTGTTAGAGAAAAGGCAGCCATTATAACAGTCCGGGAGCAGTGAAAATCAACCAGGCACATTTTCTCATTGTTGATGGTCAGCCACCTATGGTTTACTAGATCAGGAAAAGATTAGGAATAAAAATAGCTAATCTCTTATTCTCCCACTGATTTGCCATCTGTTCTCAGACAGATCTTTTGTCCCTCTGATCCCTGGTTTCTTCCAGGATAAAATGAAGGTTTTGGACTAGGTCACTACTAAAGGCTGTTTCAGTGTAACCATGCTACATCTCTAAGAGGCAGAGAAACCTCCTACCCCCATTTTCCCAGACACACCTAAACAACCCCTAAACACCTAAACACACAGTCACAGTAAGCATCAGGGATACACAAATGCTCCCAAACAGGAGGTTTTGGTCCTTGACCCATCCCAGCCCTGGCCTCTGTTTTTGCATGTCTCCAGGGCTGTAACGCTGGCCCCCTTGAGGCCACTTGCTTAGCTATACTAGTTGTATCTCAGTGCTGCAGCCAGCCAAGAGTAAACTCATGAGCATCTTGAGGGTGCTTAAGAAAAGCTGGACCCTATGTGAATGGTGGATCAGACGGAGATGGCTAACACCCTTGGAAGGCCTCAAGATTCTGCCTCATTGTGACTGCTTTGGCTGGGTCTTTTTGTTTCAGGCCATCATGAGGAAGCCACGAGCAGCCGTGGGAAGTGGTCACAGGAGGCAGGCAGCCAGCCAGGAAGGGAGGCAGAAGCATGCTAAGAGCAACAGTCAGGCCAAGCCTTCTGCTTGTGATGGTAAGGAACTTGGTTGTGGCCCAAGGCTCACTGGCCATGAAAGGGGGCAGATTCAGTCTGGGAAGGGATTGTGATAAGTATCAAGACATTAAGAGACTTACTAAGGGCCAGGTACGGTGGCTCACACCTGTAATCCCAGCCCTTTGGGAGGCCGAGATGGGTGGATCCCTTGAGCCCAGGAGTTTGAGACCAGCCTGGGTAACATGGCAAAACCCCCTCTCTATGCTCGCATGGTGGTGAGCGTCTGTAGTCCCAGCTACTCGGGAGGCTGAGGAGGGAGGATCGCTTGAACCTGCAAGGCAGAGGTTGCACTGAGTCGAGATAGTGCCACTGCACTTCAGCCTGGGCAACAGAGCCAGACTCTGTCTCAAAAAAAAAAGAGACTCACTAAGGGTGTAATTCTGACTATATTGCTGTGTGACATTAGGATAATTGCTCTGGATGGCTGTTTTCTTACCAGTAAAATGGAGCAGTAGTTCAGCATTTCCTCCCTCATGTGGCTTTCATGGGACCAAATGAGTTCATGAACCTGAAAGTGTTTTGTAAATAGGAAGGTCCTGTACCAGTATATATTATAGCTGGCTAAAACTATTAGGTTTTCATTATGGCTCAGAGACAAAGAAGCCAGCAGTACCACCCTGAGAAATTAAGGCCAGAAACTTAGCCACAGCTACACACAATTACATAACTCTGGTCTGACTCCAGCTCCAAAGCTTAAAGGGGTTTGTTGGGGGAAGCCCTAACTGGGAGCATACTGCCACAGACTGCTGTGTCCCAAGACCCTGGTGCCCAGCCTATGCAGGGATGATTCCTAAGTGTCCTGGGGCCCCAGCAGGCCTGGCCAGGCAGCCGGAAGAGGTGGTATTGCAGGCCTCTGTCTCCCCATACCATCTATTCAGAGACGTAGCTGAAGTCACAGCCTTCCGAAGGAGCCTGCTAAGCTGGTACGACCAAGAGAAGCGGGACTTACCATGGAGAAGACGGGTAGGCAGGCGAGGAGCAGGGACAGTGGGTGGGAGGCAGGCACCCAGCCCCGTCCACCCTAACTCCTCATCTGGGGTTGCATTGACAGGCAGAAGATGAGGTGGACCCGGACAGGCGGGCATATGCTGGTCAGTACATCTCCTGAGAGCAGGGCCGTTTTGCCTCGAGGCCCTTGGGTCTGGGGGCTGTGGGCCAGGTAGGGCAGATCAGCAGTGTCCTTATGCCAACCCCTTTCCCCTAGTGTGGGTCTCAGAGGTCATGCTGCAGCAGACCCAGGTTGCCACTGTGATCAACTACTATACTGGATGGATGCAGGTGACTCCAGGGGAGGAGGGGAAGGGTCATGGGTCGGACCCCAGATGAGGGCCTTTACTTTGGGGTGGGTGTAGAGAAGGTTTCCTCTACCACCGTCACCCTTGACCTTGTCTCTTTCTGCCTGCCTGTGGCTATAGAAGTGGCCTACACTGCAGGACCTGGCCAGTGCTTCCCTGGAGGTGAGAGCCACCCTAGGGTAGGGGAAATGGGAACGACAGAGGGACTGACGGGTGATCTCTCTGACCTCTGATCCTACCCACAGGAGGTGAATCAGCTCTGGGCTGGCCTGGGGTACTATTCTCGTGGCCGGCGGCTGCAGGAGGGAGCTCGGAAGGTAAGGGGATGGCAGGAGGGTAGGAACCCAGGAGTCTTGGGTGTCTCATAATCTTAAGTCTTGCACTCCAATCAGGTGGTAGAGGAGCTAGGGGGCCACATGCCACGTACAGCAGAGACCCTGCAGCAGCTCCTGCCCGGCGTGGGGCGCTACACAGCTGGGGCCATTGCCTCTATCGCCTTTGGCCAGGTGATTCCACAGCCCACCTCCACTTTGTGCATGCCCAGCCTTCTTCCTCCCAGCCCAGGCTAATTCTTTGGCTCCTCTGTGCCAGGCAACCGGTGTGGTGGATGGCAACGTAGCACGGGTGCTGTGCCGTGTCCGAGCCATTGGTGCTGATCCCAGCAGCACCCTTGTTTCCCAGCGGCTCTGGTAGGATGTTGGGGTAACAAGGGTGCTTCAGGGGTGTCTCCAAAGGAGCTCTGGCTCACAGCAGTGTTCCCTTCTTTTAGGGGTCTAGCCCAGCAACTGGTGGACCCAGCCCGGCCAGGAGATTTCAACCAAGCAGCCATGGAGCTAGGGGCCACAGTGTGTACCCCACAGCGCCCACTGTGCAGCCAGTGCCCTGTGCAGAGCCTGTGCCGGGCACGCCAGAGAGTAAGCCTACTGGGGAAGGGGCACTGAGAAGTCCTAAGGGGTGACTCTGCCCTATGACACCCAACCCTGTGCCTCTCAGGTGGAGCGGGAACAGCTCTTAGCCTCACGGAGCCTGTCGGGCAATCCTGATGTGGAGGAGTGTGGTGAGCACCAAACCTAGCCCCCACCCCAGCCCTTCCTGGCCCAGTCAGAAGCCCCACTCCAGTTCTTCCTCTAACCTGAATAAGATTCTGCAGAACCTGGCCAAAGCCTGCTCTCTAGATTGGCCCCTAAAGCCCTCTCGGCCTGAGTAGGGTTTGGGGATCTCCATTCCCAGCTCTCAACACTGGACAGTGCCAGTTGTGCCTGCCTGCTTCAGAGCCCTGGGACCAGACCCTGGGAGTGGTCAACTTCCCCAGAAAGGCCAGCCGCAAGCCTCCCAGGGAGGAGAGCTCTGCTACCTGTGTTGTGGAACAGCCTGGGGCCCTTGGGGGTGCCCAAATTCTGCTGGTGCAGAGGCCCAACTCAGGTACCTGGATACTGGGCGTGGAAGGCAGTGGCGTGAGTAACAAGGGAGAATGGAGGGAATCGGCAGCTGAGGCCTGACCCCTGCCTGGCTGCCCTCCCTCTCAGGTCTGCTAGCAGGACTGTGGGAGTTCCCGTCCGTTACCTGGGAGCCCTCAGAGCAGCTTCAGCGCAAGGCCCTGCTGCAGGAACTACAGCGTTGGGCTGGGCCCCTCCCAGCCACGCGCCTCCGGCACCTTGGGGAGGTAAGTGAGCAGCGGAACGGCCAAGGATGGTGGCTTTTGAGGCTATATCCACAGGCCTATTTGAACCTCTTGGCCCTTCCTCCAGGTTGTCCACACCTTCTCTCACATCAAGCTGACATATCAAGTATATGGTCTGGCCTTGGAAGGGCAGACCCCAGTGACCACCGTACCAGCAGGCGCTCGCTGGCTGACCCAGGAGGAATTTCACACCGCAGCTGTTTCCACCGCCATGAAAAAGGCACTACCTTTGTTGTCTTTGTTGTACTTCCTTGTGTTTCCTACATGAACACAAGCATGTAAACAGAAAAAAAAGCATTTTTTTTTTTTGAGATGGAGTCTCGCTCTATTGCCCAGGCTGGAGTGCAATGGCGCTATCTGAACTAACTGCAGCCTCTGCCTCCTGGGTTCAAGCGATTCTCCTGCCTCAGCTTCCTGAGTAGCTTGGATTACAGGTGCCCGCCACCATGCCTAGCTATTGTTTCTATTTTTAGTAGAGACGGGGTTTCATCATGCTGGCCAGGCTCATCTCCAACTCCCGACCTCAGGCGATCTGCCTGCCTCAGCCTCCCAAAGTGCTGGGATTACAGGTGTGAGCCACTGTGCCCGGCTATTATTATTATTTGTTTTTTGATGGAGTCCCTGTCACCCAGGCTGAAGTACAGTGGTGCGATCTTGGCTCACTGCAACCTTTGCCTCCTGGGTTCAAGTGATTCTCGTGCCTCAACCTCCCGAATAGCTGGGATTACAGACGTGTACCACCATGCCCAGCTAAGTTTTATATTTTTTGTAGAGATGGGGATTTCACCATGTTGGCTTGGCTGGTCTCAAACCCCTGGCCTTAAGTGATCCACCCGCATCGGCCTCCCAGAGTGCTGGGATTACAGGCATGAGCCACTGTACCTGGCCAAAAAAAATCACTTTTTTTTTTTTCTTTTTTCTTTGAGACGGAGTCTCACTCTGTTGCCCAGGCTGGAGTGCAATGGCATGATCTTGGATCATTGCAACCTCTGCCTCCCAGGTTCAAGTGATTCTGCTTCAGCCTTCCAAGTAGCTGGAATTACAGGCGTGTGCCACCATTCCTGGCTGATTTTTTATTTTTAAATTTGTATTATTTGTATTATTTTTATTTTTAGGGGGGAGAGACGCTGTCTCCCTCTGTCACCAAGGCTGGAGTGCAGTGGAATGATCTCAGCTCACTGCAAACTCTGGTTCCCAAGTTCAAGTTATTCTACTGCCTCAGCCTCCCGATTAGCTGGGATTATAAGCTTGTGCCACCACACCCTGCTAACTTTTTTTTGTATTTTTAGTAGAGATGAGGTTTCACTATGCTGGCCAGACTGGTCTCTAACTCTTGACCTCAAGTGATCCACCTGCCTTAGCCTCCCAGAATGCTGAGATTACAGGTGTGAGCCACCACACCCAGCCATGATGTTTTGGATTTTTAGAAATGGGGTTTCACCATGTTGGCCAGGCTGGTCTCGAACTGCTGGCCTCAAGTGATCCACCCACCTTGGCCTCTGAAAATGCCAGGATTACAGGCATGAGCCACCATGCCTGGCCAAAAAAACATATTTTAAACAAAAGTACTGGGACATGAAGTTAAGGGCAGAACACTGGTTTATCTCTTTTGGAAAAAGTGCCAGCCCTCACCTCCCCGTCTTCTTGTCTAGGTTTTCCGTGTGTATCAGGGCCAACAGCCAGGGACCTGCAAGGTAAGTCTCCTAGGCCTCTCCCAACCCGTCTCCCCAGGCCTGAGGCCATGGGTTTTTAGTCAGTTAACTGACGAATGTTTGGGTGAACATTCTCCACTCCAGGCTTCACTGGAGAGAGGAATAGTTCTTGACCTGGAGAAGTTGCATTGTGGGGTGCAGGGTAGAGGGAAAGGAAAAAAATGATGAGGACTCTCCAGTGTCACAGGTGTGTGAAATGCATGTACTGGATTTTGTGGGATATGAATTGTGGAGCCATCAGTTCTTTTTGTTTTGTTTTGTTTTGTTTTGTTTTGTTTTGAGACAGTCTTGCCCTGTCACCCAAGCTGGAGTGCAGTGGCCCAATCTCGGCTCACTGCAATCTCCAATAACTAGATTAAAGTGATTCTCCTGCCTCAGTCTCCCAAGTAGCTGGGATTACAGGTGCCTGCCACCACGCCCAACTAATTTTTGTATTTTTAGTAGAAACAGGGTTTCACCATGTTGGCTAGTCTGGTCTCGAACTCTTGACCTCAAGTGATCTGCCCGCCTTGGCCTCCCAAAGTGCTGGATTACAGGTGTTGAGCCACCACACCCATCCATGGGAGCTGTCAGTTCTATCTGGGAGACAAGGATCAGGAAAGGCTGTTTGGAGGGAGCAGCTGGTAATCTTGTAATACCTAACCTTGTTTTAGACTCTCCCTTAATCACCTAGCCTTGTTTCCACATGAATAGGCTCTCCCTTCATTGAGAAAGCCAGACAACTCCATTTGGCTCCTTCTGTAAATGAAGCCTTGGAAATAGGTTTCAAGGACTCTTCACCCACCCCCTTCCTCAAGGAGTTAACTTGTGTATGCAGACTCCCAACATATCAAAGAGTCCAATTAACTGATAAGGTACTGAAGCAAGCAATGTTTGAAGTTCCCAGGATTTTGCTCAAGAGATAACACCATAAAGCCTTGAGTTTGTGTCCGACAGAGCCCACATATATAACATCTTATGAAAGATTTAGAGTCCCTGCACCTGGAAACTGTTTGTTTCTCTGTAACCATTTGTCTTTTTAACTTTTTTACATGTTTTTACTTCTGTAAAATTGTTGCAGCTGAACTCCCCCTCCCCTTCCTAAACTGAAGTATAAAGAAAATGGAACCTTCCTGGGGCCGAGAGAATTTTGAGCGTTAGCCATTTCTCGGTCACCGGCTAATAAAGGACTTTTTTTTTTTTTTTTGAGACAGGGTCTCGCTCTGTCGCCCAGGCTGGAGTGTGGAGTTCAGTGGCGCAATCTTGGCTCACTGCAAGCTCTGCCTCCCGGGTTCACGCCATTCTCCTGCCTCAGCCTCCCGATTGCTGGGACTACAGGTGCCCGCCACCACGCCTGGCTAAATTTTTGTATTTTTAGTAGAGATGGGGTTTCACTGTGTTGGCCAGGCTGGTCTCAATCTCCTGACCTCGTGATCAGCCCGCCTTGGCCTCCCAAAGTGCTGAGATTACAGGCGTGAGCCACCGCGCCTGGCCAGGACTCTTAAATTCATCTCAAAGTGTAGCGTTTCTCTAACTCGCTTGGGTACAACAATCTGTGTCCTAGAAATGAATCATTTTCTTCAGGTTTGGGAGGGGAATCAACCGTAGCGATGTTCTTTCCAGTCCCAAGAGTAGTGTGAGCAAAGGTGGGGCCCAGTGCAGGCTGCAGTGCTCAAGGAGCTGTGAGCAGTTGGTTTAGCTGGAAAGGTCAGCAGGGTCTGCTGAGTCAGTCAGGGTGTGAGCCCTAGGCTGCTGACCCATTTTAGGTGGAGAAGAGTCAGATTCACATTTTTAGGACAATTCGATTCCCTCAGGCAGCCTTTTGGGAGGTTGATTGATGGGGCAGTTACTTGAGGCAGGATGAAAGCTCTACAGCATTCCAGGCTAAGCCTGAGCTAGATCAGTAGAGTCAGGGAAAGGGAGGGAGAACAAGGAGAGGATTCTCTGCTCCCCCTCCCCTAACTACAAGGCCTCCCGCCTTCCATTTTTTCACAGGGTTCCAAAAGGTCCCAGGTGTCCTCTCCGTGCAGTCGGAAAAAGCCCTGCATGGGCCAGCAAGTCCTGGATAATTTCTTTCGGCCTCACATCTCCACTGATGCATCCAACCTCAACAGTGCAGCCCAGTGACACTTCTGAAAGCCCCCATTCCCTGAGAATCCTGTTGTTAATAAAGTGCTTATTTTTGTAGTTATTTTGTGTTGTTTTTTTTGAGATGGGGGTCTTGCTATGTTGCTCAGGCTGGTTTCGAACTCAGGTGATTCTGGCCTCAAGTGATTCTCCCACTTCAGCCTCCTAAAGGGCTTGGATTACAGGCATGAGCCACCACGCCCGCCCTTTTATAGCTATTTTGGAGAGCCTTCCACCCTCTCCCTAGTCCCTTACTCCTCACATCTGAAGGAGGGACCCAGAAAAGTGGTGACGTTCTGCTTGGTCCTGACTTCCTCTGGCTGAACTCCCAGCCAGCCCTGGGCAGATGGGGTCGGGGGGTGGGTGCTCTGTCCAGACTGATCTGTCCTCCATCCCCCCAGGAGAAAGGCAAGGCAGCTACAGGGAGCACCTGCCAGTGGCTGACACCCAACACCCTCCGTCTAGGTCTCAGGTCAGCTCTGATTGGAGCGGTGGCATCACTGGAGAAGGTAGTTGGGCTCAACTCCCAGCCAGCCCCTTCCCACCTGCAGTCGCTCCCTAGGGGGAGAGGAAGCACAGGAGAAGATTTGTTCTGTTTTAAATTCCTACTTCAAATATGAAATCATTTATTTAGGGTTATGTTACATACGGAGTGAAACGATACAGAAAAGCAAAGGGCTAATAATGACAGGATTTGAGGAGTGGGTGGGAGGAAACAATCACAGTGGAACACAAGGAGGACTCGAGAGTATTGGTTATGTTCTGTTTCCTAGTGTGTAATTCTTTTACTGTTTTTTGTATCTTACATATTTATTATAGAATGTATATAAGAAATGTTTTAGTTTTTAAAAATCCCACCTCTTTGGAGCCCAGTGAGAGACACAGCTTCTGGCAGGCACTGATGAGATGGAAGTCACACCTGCCCCCTGGAGGCAAAGTCTTTCACTAGTTGGGCCTCCTGCAGATGTTCCTCAGTTCTATGCTGGTCTCCCCAGAGCTGCAGGTCAGCTGGCTGCACTCAGCTCTGGGCATCCTTCGGCTTCCTGGCTCTTGGTAGCTTGCTCCTGTACAGACTGCCACAGAGCTCTGATGTTGCCCTGACCAAAGCCAGTGGCCCCCTGCCTCTGAATCAGCTCCAGGAAGAAAGTGTCCTCAGTGAAAAGGGACTTGGTGAAGACCTGAAGCAGAAACTTGCCTTCATCACCATCTAGCAGGATCCCCTGTCTAGCAAGCAGATGAGGCTCGTGCCCTGCAGCTCGGATTTGCCTCTCCTTTCCTGGCTGCTGGTAGTATGCCCCAGGGGGAGCCAGGAACTGGCCTCCAGCAGCTGCCACCCGCTCAGTGGCCTCCACAATATTAGGCGTATACAGCCCCACGTGCTGCAGGCCTGGCCCCTTGTGCCGGGCCAGGAACTGCTCCACCTGGTCCTGTTGTGTCGTCGCCCCCGGCAGGGACTCAGCCAGCACAAGAGTGGGGACAATGCTGCCCGGCTGGGCCTGCAGGGCTGTAAGCCGCAGTCCCCCAAGCCCAAACCCTGCTGTTATTTCCAGGCCCAGCTCGGGATCCTCATCTGGGCTCAGCGGCAAGTGGCAAAAGCCCAGGCAGTTGTGGAACCAGCGCAAAAGTGTGGGGGAGCTGCCGGCGGTGCAGGCCAAGGTCAGGTGGTCCACGCGGCTGACCCACCCAGGGCCAGGCGCAGAGGGCACGGGCCTGAAGCCGGGCAGGAAGGGTCCGCGGTAGCCGGCGCGCTCCAGCAAGGTCAGGCTGATGTTGCCGGCGGGCGAGCTGACCACGGCGTAAGTGGCGGCACCCTGCGTGTCCCGCACGCGAACGGGAGGGACAGGCACGCTGCAGCCCAGCGCTGCCAGCTCCCGGGTTGCAGCGCCGACGTCCGCCACGTCGAAGCACAGGTTCGTGGCGCTGGGGACCGCGTGACGCGGATCCAGCCCATACAGCGGCTCTCCAGACCCTGGGCCCTCGTTCACCAAAAAGACAGCGTCGCCGCTGCGCAAGGCCAGCTGCCGCCAGCCGTCCACCTCCCGCGAAGCCAGGGGCTGGAAGCCGAAGAGGTGTTGCAGGTCCCGGGCGAGGGGCTGCCCCGCGGGCACGTGGAAGGCGATGTGGCACAAACGAAGGGCGGGCGCGGCCATGGCGCTCTGGACAGCGACCTAGACTTGTCCTTCTGGGGCCGCTCACTTGTGGTTGGGGACTTCGGGACTCTCAGTCCTGGGCTGATCGTCCGGAGTTGGAGAGTGCAGTTCACCCCGCAGAGCAAGTTTCTCGCTTTCTTCCGGAAAGAAGTCACCCGCCGACCCCTGAGAGCTCGCGGTTCTCCCTGCAGCGCCACCCCAGCCAGGAGCAGCCTCTGGGGCACAGGGTCTCACTGAGCCGAGCTGCTAGTTGTGAGAACCACGCGGAGCCTGCGCTCGCGCCAAGCTGGAGAAAGAGGGCGGAGCCCGTGACTCCGCCTTTGACTCCCCACCCTCCCGCCCACACCCTGTCGCCTAGGATACTGCGGGATTGCTGCGCTGTTCTTTCCTCCGGCCTCACGCCGGGTCACATCCTTGGGCACTGAGCCTCCCTTCCTCAGGCCAGGAACTCACAATGGCTGCCTTCATTCGGCGCCAGGCGCTGGGCTCCCACTCATCCCTACAACCTCATAGCGAAGGGACTCAGCCCGGGTTCAGGGAAAGAGTTGGAATTGTCTCTCCACAAGCACAGAATTTCTTAGCACTTTCATGTTTTGTCTTTAAGTTCTGGAGTTTGCCTCTAAGTCTTTTTTTTTTTTTTTTTTTGAGACGGAGTCTTGCTCTGTGCCCCAGGCTGGAGTGCAGTGGCGCGATCTCGGCTCACTGCAAGCTCCGCCCCCCCGGGTTCACGCCATTCTCCTGCCTCAGCCTCCCGAGTAGCTGGGACTACAGGCGCCCACCACCTCGCCCGGCTAATTTTCTTGTATTTTTAGTAGAGACGGGGTTTCACCGTGTTAGCCACGATGGTCTCTATTTCCTGACCTCGTGATCCGCCCGTCTCGGCCTCCCAAAGTGCTGGGATTACAGGCTTGAGCCACCGCGCCCGTCCTGCCTCTAAGTCTTAATGTTCCCTGGAATACACACACACACACACACACAAACACACACACACACACACACAGGTTTATATGTTTTGAGACAGGGTCTCACTCTGTCACCCAGGCTGGAGTGGCACAATCACAGCTCACTGCAGCCTCCATCTCCTGGGTTCAGGCGACTTCCCTGCCTCAGCGCACAAATAGCTGGGACCACAGGCGGACGCCACCTCACCCAGCTAATTTAAAAAATATATATATATAATTATTATTTTTTTTTTAAGAGATGAGGTCTTGCTGTATTGCCCAAGCTGGTCTTAAACTCCTGGGCTCAAGCCATCTTTCAACCTCAGCGTCTCTAAGTGTTGGGCAATCTCTCAACCACTCCTATCTCTTTCTTCAATCCCACTTCTGTCAACATCATTTAACCCCTTGTCCCAAGCAACATTTGGAGGAAAAATCTGACGGTTCGGGATCTGAAAGGAACAGCTGCCTGGCTGTCCTTCCCCTTCCCCATCCTTTAAGGACTGGAACCCAGGCCCTCCTTGCTCTTTGCAGCTTCCTGACTTGGCACTGAGCCAGAGATTTCTGTGGTGGGGGCACCTCTGGCTCTGGAACCCAGAATTGTGTGAGATGACTGGATTGAGGAATTTGGAGTCTTCTGGAACTTCAACTGAGTGGCCCTTGCAGGGTTAGGGAAGGGCATCCAAGAAGGGCAAAAGGCATAAGCAAAACTCAGTAAGAACGTGAGCCCCCAGACTCGTAAAGGAGCAACGGGCCATGCTGTTAGGGAGGCATTTAGGATGAATGCCACAGTCCAAGGCATCACAAGAGATCTTTTTTGTCAGGCAGCCTGATCTATTGGGTTTCATTGGCAGGAGGGAGAAGGATGTCATAGGGGACAGGAGCTAGCTGGATGTCGTGGTGTTGAGGCCTGCAGGCAGGAGGGCAGTACCCAGGAGCTGGTCAGGGTGGTAAAAGGTACTTGGTGCTACTCTGCAGACCAGTGAATGTGAGGACATGAGTTCCAAAAGCCAGATGGACCTGGATTTGAATCACCAGCAACACTTACTGTCTGTATGGGCAAGTTGCTTAACATCTCTGAGCCTTAATTTGCTCATCTGTAAAAATGGAAATAATAGTACCTACTTCAAAGAGTTGTGATTAAATGAGGTGGAGTAAGTGTTCAGTAAATAGTAGCTGTTGCTATTGCAGTTACTGTTTTTTTTAATTAATTTTATTTTCCCACATGTTCTAATATTTATTTATTTTAAAAAGTTTTTTTTTTGACCAGGTACGGTGGCTCATGCCATCTCTACTAAAAATACAAAAATTAGCCGGGTGTGGTGGCGAACGCCTATAGTTCTAGCTACTCAGGAGACTGAGGCAGGAGAATGGTGCGAACCTGGGAGGCAGAGCTTGCAGTGAGCCGAGATCACACCACTGCACTCCAACATGGGCGACAGAGCAAGGCTCCGTCTCAAAAAAAAAAAAAAAAAAAGGTTTTTTAGGCCTGGGCGCAGTGACTAACACCTGTAATCTCAGCACTTTGGGAGGCTGAGGCAGGCAGATCACCTGAGGTCAGGAGTTCAAGACCAGCCTTACCAACATGGTGAAACCCTATCTCTACTAAAAATACAAAAAATTGGCTGTAATCCCAGCTACTCGGGAGGCTGAGGCAGGAGAATCACTTGAACCCAGGAGGCGGAGGTTGCAGTGAGCCAAGATCACGCCATTGCATTGTAGCCTGGGCAACAAGAGAGAAACTCTGTCTCAAAAAAAAAAAAGAAAAGAAAAATGGTTTTTAGAGATGAGGTCTCACTCTGTTACCTAGGCTGGAGTGCAGTGGCATGATCATAGCTCACTGCAGGCTCCAACTCCTGGGCTTAAGCAATCCTTCCGCCTCAGTCTCCCAAGTAGCTTGGGACTACAGGTGCACACAACCATGCCTGGCTATTTAGTTATTGTTTTATTTTATCTCATGATACAATGCCAGTGGC